TCCTTCTGATAACGCGTCCAGGTTTCACGGTAGTATAGAAAAAGAGGCTGAACTATCGACTTGGTATACTGTCAGCTTCATCCCATGGTTAGTGGATGATTGCTCCACAGCCGACTTTGCGTATTCCAAATGCGGCAGCCGCCTACGATACGCGGTTGCGCAGCTCCCTCGGTATCTGCAGATCCGCTGATTACACTCCCAAAGTAGCAAAATCGGGAGCTCGCTTCCAGAACGTCATCGCTGATGGGGATTTACAGTAAACAAAACCATTCCATTTCTGGTGTAGCCTGAATATGAAGGTGAGCTAGAATTGAACCACTGTCGAAGCGACAGTCGAAGTTATGTGCTGCAACTCAACCAATTTGTGTGCAAACACATATTCGTTGGCAAACGAAACATGCGGTTGGTCGTCTAACATATGCTTGTTTTCGTTTCGAAAAGTCGGATGTTCAGCATTCCACCAACAATACGGTGTTCTGCACGAACACCGCAATCACAAACCGCAGCAAAAGCACAAAACATCCTTGCATTTAAGTCAAAGCCAACATGGCATAGGCTAAGATGCAGTCAAGCTTTAGATCAGAGGAATCCGAAGTATATGGACACAGCTGCAACCTCGCCCACAAACCACTGTGCAGAAGTTCAATGAAACTGACAACATTACTCGGAATACCAAACTTACAAAACAATACCGTTTAATGGGGCTAATAGACTGATGGAGTCGACAAACAAATAGTAAAGTGACTGCTGTCGCTTTCAACATTTCTCCTGAAATTGATGATCAGGGACCACAACGGAATCCGCATTGCACTTCCGCCACGAGCGCTTCAACTACCTGAGTGACGAAGAGATTGAGCGAGATTCGGATGATCAGTTAAGCCACACAACCCATCAACTTGAGGCCACAATAATTCGTACAACCATTTTGGCGTCTGTTAGGAAGGAATACGTGATGCGAACAAGCCATGAACCCATCGCCGCGGCAAGCCATCCAAACTCACCCGCCCTGATTGGGGCGAATAGAATGCCAACCGGGAGAAGCCGCCAAGTAACGCGAGGGCAGTGTTCCTTGATTTGTTGTAAGTTGACCTTTCTAGAGCTTTCCACGTGCGATTTAAATACCATTCACGAAGTTTCCATTCCACTTTTATAATAAACGGTGTGATTCGCTAACATATTCTGTTGCTCTGCTCCTCCGATCCGGTCTTCTCTCTGTCCTGTGCGGGACCAGCGACTTCAAGTTTTGATTTGGAATCAAGCGTCCATTCAGGCGAGGGACGAACACTTCGGCTGGCAACAGATTGAACCCCAATCAAGATGTCCATATCAGCTGACGAGCTCAAGACCATTCTGCTGCAACAACTAGCACAATTTGAGCAACCCATCTCTGGCTGATCGAAACTCTTACGCGCCAACTCTCAATCCAGACCGGTTCACTGTCTACACCCGTCAAGCCGTCCACATCGCTAGACGCCGTCACTATCAGCACTACCGAATTTTCGTACGACCCTGATGCTGGTCTCACTTTGAATCTTGATTCAAGCGTTATGATGATGTGTTCCGCGTTGAACATGGAGACTATGATGACGATTGGAAAGTTCGATTGCTGTTAACGAAGCTTGGAACAACAGAGCACTCCAGGTATGTCAACTTTATTTTGCCTAAGTACGCTCGAGGCTACACTTTTGAGGAGACTGTCAAATGCTTGGGCCAAATAGTTGGAGATCAGTCATCCATCTTCAACACGCGATATCAAGGCCTGAAGATCACCAAAATGAGACACTGATGACTACGTCACTTACGCTGGCATCGTCAATCGCGAGTGTGAACAATTCGACATCAAATCCGTCACCGCGCAGATCAGTTCAAATGACTGATTTTTATCTGTGGCCTACATTCCCCACAGGATGCAGAGATTCGCACCGGGCTGCTGAGTAAACTTGAACAAGATCAGCAAATCACTCTACAGGCCAAAACTACTGAATATCAACTATTGCTGAACCTTAAGCATGACACGCTTACGCTGGAGAAGCAACAATCAACCCCAAGTCTTAGTGTATTAAAAACCACCTGAAAGTAAACCCTTCCAGGTGAAACAGGCCATGAAATGCCCAGCGAAATCCCAATCCCCCGACTGCCTGTTGGCGATGTGGTGAATGACAATTTATCAAGATTCTCCATTCCTTAAACATGTTTGCCACAAGTGTCATAAACGGGGCCATTAGGAAACGTACTGCCGATTCAGAATGCAGTTCAAGCGTATTAGACATACGCGACAGAATCCAAATGTTATCAAATGATTCAGCAGCTATAGTACGAGTCAAACGGCCTACTCCGATGATTCTGTGGCTCCCAGGAAGTACATCCGATTTCGCCTGAACGGGCAACAAATGCGTCTTCAGCTAGATACAACCGCGGACATCACAATTATCTTCACTCTATTGGTGCTCCGTCAATCAGACGAACGACACATGTACTTAACGCTCCAGGAGGTCAACTCATTCTCATTGGTGTGATGCAGTGTGAAATAGCTTTTGGCGCTGCTCGGGCAAACGGTGTCGTGAATATTACGGGGCTGTCATAGTTGAATCCGCTTGGTCTAGCCTGGATCCAGAAGCTCCACCTGTTCGACATTCCCTTGAGTCAAGTCTGCAATACCCTCCGGCTCGGATATACGAGTCCCTCTTCGGAAGATGACGAACCAAACAACAGCCTGATCGAGCAACTACGAAGGAAATGCCCCTCTGTGTTTCGCAATGACTTTGGAAGATGCACAAAGACCAAAGCAAATCTTACTCTCAAAGACTGTGCCAAACCCGTATTCCGACCCAAAAGACCGGTACCAAACGCTGCGTTTCCGATTGTTGATGCGCAACTTGTTCGCTTGCAGTGGGCACGCATCATCCGACCTGTGAACTATTCTGCGTGAGCAGCAACTATTTTTGCCGTCCTATCTGTGCTGAATACTCTACGGGATTGAATACTGCTTTGAAAGTGCTCCAGTATCCCTTGCCAGTCCAAGAAGAGTTAATTCCTATGCTCAGTGGTGGCGCTTACTTTGCAAATCTACACTTCTCATATGCTTATCTTCAAACTGAAGTCGACGATGCTTCAATGGAGTTGCTGGCAATCAATACGCACCGAAGTCTTTACCAGTCCAACTGTTTGTCGTTTGGTGTCAAATCAGCTCCCGCGATTTTTCAACACATTATGAATACGATGTTAGCTGGGTTATCAGGAGTCGCAGCTTACTTGGACGACATCATAATCAAAGGGGCTACCTTTCGAGAGCTGACAGAATGACTGGAAGCAGTTCTCAACCGTGTTAATGACCACAGCTTTCACTTGAAAGAAGAAATGTGCAATACCTGTATGAAGTTTGTAAAGTATCTTGGCTTCCTCATCGACAAACATGGCTTTGTCGCCTTATATAATCCTGCAGGATCGTCTACCGTAGAATTTTTCCCACATTTGCAAAAATGATCCAAGGCCATCCCCGTACATTGTTAATGTTGTAGTGTTATCCTCTCTACCATATTGGGTGATTAATCCCTTATCATGGTGTGCGAACCTAGAACTTATTTTTCACCGCCTCAGAATCTCCTGGTTGTGTTTAGTAACAACTTATACTTCGGCTACCCCAGAGTATATTTTCACAGGCAATCAATATACTAAATGGCCCCCTGAAGAAATAAAATAAGGGAACCTTAAGCAGGCTATTATTCGGCGGAGAACGCATGTAGACAAGATTCGCTTGCAGCACCTTTAGGAGACGTCAACTTGGAGATAAGATCCCTCCACATAGATGCGAAGAATGCAACAGCCCCTTGACACCTTCAACATGAACGTTTGGGTTCTCCGCAAAATGTCGACCCAAAGCCGCCCTGAAAGTACACAGACCATTCTTTCAGTAGCAGATGCTCTGCTGTTGACGAAGTCATGGAAATCGCGTTCACAGGACACGACTTAAAAGGTGTGGAGCTACTCCCAGGAGAACGACTTCTTGACTTAGAGTATGCTGAATATATTGCCCTAATCTGTGACAGCTCACAAACGTGCCAAGCGGCACTGGACAGATTAGCACTAGGGGTCCGTCACGTCGGGCTTTGCTTCGCACCATCGAAGTGCAAAGCGTTCCTCCAAGATTGGTCTGGACCGTCTCCTACGCTGACCCTTGGTGGGGATCAGCTAGAAGTCGTTCAAACATTCAACTACCTGGCAAGTTGTATCAGCGCCCGTTGGATTGAAGATGAGATCACGAATCGTATAGCAATAGCTCGGGGCGCTTTTACTAACCTTCGCTACTTATGGCGTCGGCGTGACATCACTTTTGCCCTGAAGGGTAGAGTGTACAATGCAGCGGTACGTTCGACCCTGCTGTACGGTTGTGAAACCTGGCCGCTTAAAGCAACCGACCTGAAGAGGCTAGTTATGTTCGACCACAGCTGCCTTCGTAATTTAGCTCACATCTGGCGCGAACACCGACGAGCGTGTTCGACGGAAAAGGAAATGAATCGCTCAGCACCGTTATTTCACGCACCAGGCTCCGATGGCTCGGCCACGTGTTACGCATGCCAGCCCACCGACTCCCGCGACGTGCGTTGTTTGCGCGCCGGGGGTGTGGATGGAAGAAGAGGAGGGGTGGCCAAGCGATGACTTGGTCGCGAGGAATGAAGGCCCTCACTTCTGAGCTGGCCTCGGTTGGAACGTCTCGGCTCCCTGGTTAGGGTCCGAAAGACGAGGAACACATTTGGTTGGACACACTTGCTGATATGGCTGGGAGCCGACCTCAGTGGCGTTCGTGCTGTAAGTTTCTTTGTCCCAACCCATCCCCCTTAGCCTCCCCCCTCCAACCACGATCTCATTATTTAGCCTTATATAATTTTGCATAGCAAGTTTTTTGATGCACAGTAGCCGGCTGGTAGCTTACCGGAACGATGCCCATCCGGTACCGGTAGCTCAGCCAGCTTGAACCTGCCGTTTTTTTATCCTTTTTTTCT